GTGACAAAGCCTGAAGAATATAAAATACAGAATAATCATTATGTAAGCTACTTGTTTATAATAATAGATCCAAATACCTTGATAATTTAATATTTAAGCCTAGTTTGAGAAGATTGAAAAAAGATAAAAAGTCAAAAAATCATTATTCTATTTAAATCACATCATCTTATTTAAGTCACATCACTTCTCTAATACATCACTTCAAACCCAACTCAAACCCAACTCATATTTCATAAAAAGTCAAAAAATACACTTATTTAGTCTTCTCAAACTAGGCCTTAGTATGTAGGGTTTCAGATTTAATATCAATTGATTACGGAGTTATGAATTGACATTTACCCAAACTTTGAAATTCTCACAAACTTCTATGGTTATTGAATGTGATATGTCTTCACTATATTTGATAGAATAGGTGAAGTACAATATGGCTGATGTCAGTTTAAGGTTAAATTAGCTTAGACATAAATGTTATGGTTATTATCACTTATACGAATTAGACACTCAAATGAATTCTTAAAAAAAAAATAGAAGATAAAATAAAAATCCACTAATAATACATGTATCACTTAGAGTAAATGAGCTTGGAGATTTTCGCATGGTTGATATTAGGGGTGGGCGCGGATCGGTTGCGGCCACGAAACCTCCAATCCGCCATCCGTCCGCCAGATTGGCGGATTGAAGAAAATCAATCGCCCTTCCCAAACCAGGCTAAAATAGCCCAGGCTAAAATAGCCAAAAAGCCAAAAAGTCAAAAAGCCAACCCACTTCCCAAACGGAGGCTATGTAAGGTTTCAGATTTAACATCAATTGATTACGGAATTATGAATTGACATTTACCCAAACTTTGAAATTCTCACAAACTTCTATGGTTATTGAATGTGATATGTCTTCACTATATTTGATAGAAGAGGTGAAGTACAATATGGCTGATGTCAGTTTAAGGTTAAATTATCTTAGACATAAATGTTATGGTTATTATCACTTATACGAATTAGACACTTAAATGAATTCTAAAAAAAAAAATAGAAGATAAAATAAAAGCATCCGTCCAAAATGCGGCGGATCGGTTCGGTTCGGTCGGTTTTGGCGGATCGGTATATCCGCTGCTCACCCCTAGTTGATATATCTTGTTCAATCAATCAATTTGTTGATCCATCATCTTTTATCATGCGTGATCACTCACAGCGACAATCCTTTTTTATTGAAGGAAACTTGACGTGATGTCAATGCATGAATTCCCTTTCGTCCCTTGATGAGTAAGCTCCGTAAGCTAACTCTTCTGTTATTGGCTTGTCTCCCTGGTAAATGAATTTTAGGTGCTCCCTTCCTCCTTAAATAAAAACATTCGATCCTCAATGAGAAGGGCTGGATAGAGAAACAAGTGCAATAGGCACCCTGAGTTTACCAACCTTACTGACTGACTCTAAAGCTGTGTTTAGTTGAGAGATTTAAAGAGGGATTAAAAAGAAAAAAAAATATTTAAAATTAAGTGAAATATAAATATATTTTATTTATATTTCATCCATATTTTTTATTTTTCATTCTAAATCTCTCATTCAATCTCTTGACCAAACACAATATCAGAGTTCACACCTTGGGATGGGGGTTAGTAATCAATATAAATATATTTTATTTATATTTCATTCATATTTTTTATTTTTCATTCTAAATCTCTCATTCAATCTCTTGACCAAACACAATATTGATTTAGGCAGGACCTAATATTGATTTATTAGTAATCAATATAAATATATTTTATTTATATTTCATTCATATTTTTTATTTTTCATTCTAAATCTCTCATTCAATCTCTTGACCAAACACAATATCAGAGTTCACACCTTGGGATGGGGGTTAGGTTGCTGCGCCATGCAGGTCCTGTGGGTTGCGTTGACTTTTTATTTATTACAAAAAAATGTATAAAAAAGTAAAAAATAATGTAACTCAAATAAATTAATAAGTTTACTTTTTTTTTTTTAATACATTTCAAAGGAGGCCATAGAATACCATTATAGATACCATATATAACTTAACCTATACATTTAGGCCTAGTTTGGGAAGTTTGAGAAAAGTAAAAAAGTTAAAAAGTTACTCAAAAAGTTAAAAAGTTAATACTATTCACAAAAAGTCAACAATTACGACTGCACAACTCCCAATTCTAATTTTCCTCTACAAACTAATTTTTATAATTTTTTATTATACATTTTTCTATAAAAAATCAAAAAATTAACCCAAATATCCATATTTTTTCTCTCAACTTTTTAGTCCAAAAATACAAAAAGTACACTTATTTAGGACATGCCAACCAACCCCTTACAATGATTTTAATATGTCAATAATTATTACTAGCAGGAGTAGTCAAGTTCTACACTTCTCTCATGAAAAAAAATAGAGAAAGGAAAAAATATGATGAAAAGAAGAAAAGGTAGTGCCTTTACTCAACTATAATTATCTATCACACTCCTACAAAAAGTTTTTTTTTTTTTTCGGATTATTTTAATTACAGAAGACATTAAAGAGTCTATTAATTTGTATAATATGTTTGTGAAAGTAGGTTGGAATGATGGTGGCTCCGTGTGTAAGAGAAATTGCAAAAGTGAGGAGTGCGTAGAGATGGGCAAAAAAAAAAAAAAAAAAAAAAAAAAAAATGAAAAAGCGAAATTCAAATTTACACATTAATTTTAATTTTTACAGTTTTGTGTATATGTAAGCTTTTCAAATTGCTACAATATATAAAGGTTTTAGGGATTAAATTTTCTTTTGTCTAAAAAAGTAAAAATCTTGTTATAAAAGATATTTGAAAATCAATTATTATCGTCACGGGTGTCATCGGTAAAATATTGTTCTGGAAAGTTAAAAAAGTGACTTTTAGAATCTTTTTGAAAATGTTGCCAATAAATAAAATTTTAAGGATGAAAAAATTTGGTGCAAAAAAAATTTAATTTTTTAGACAAATTTTGGTCACAAAAGGATTGTAATTTATTAATAAATGTTTATTTTCGTTATCAAAAATAAATAATGATTTTTTTTAACTAAATATTTCATTCTTAGAAAGTGATTTTGCCTATAAATTTTATATTTAAAAATCCTAATTTATTATATTTTCAAGTTGATAAAACAAGAATGGAAATTCTATTATACACACCTGATAAAAAAAGGTACATATCATGTCACTACAGTAAATTAAGATTTTAAAAATAAAAATTTAGTAACAAAATTAATTTTTAACAAAAAAATATTTTAATCCCCAAAATATCATTATCATATTTTTTAAAAATTTTGTCACGGATTTTTTATTTATTTATTTATTTTACTTTTCGTGGCTGAAATCCGCCTGTTTTTATAACAAAGGTTTCAACTTTTAGGGATGAAAAAGTTGGTTGTTAAAATTCTTAGGCTTGGTTTGGGAAGTGGGTTTACTTTTTGGTTTTTTGGCTTTTTTAGCTATTTTAGCTATTTTAGCCTGGGTTAAAAAGTTTTGTTTGGGAATGACTTTTTGGCTTTTTGGCTTTTTTGACTTTTTTGTGAGAGAAGAGTGTAATGATTATGGGTTGGATGTGATGTTTTGTTTTTTATGGCTAAAATAGCCTATTTTGTCTTTTGTGGCTAAAATAGCCAAAAAAGCCCCCAACCCAACTTGCCAAACGGAGCCTATATACTTTAATGTATGTATCTCTAGTTTCTATCATTGGATCTAAAAATATGAGTCTTAATAATTAATCATACTCACATTAATTCTTAACCAACAGTGATTACTTTGATCACAATCAAAATTATCATATTAAAGTCGTATATTTTAAGACATAAACAAGTATCAAAATATGAGATCTAACCAATTTTGATTTAACAATTTAAGATATGGAGTCACTACTAATTACTATGGCCCTTCGATACAACAACCTTTGTTGAGTTCATTGAGAACTCATTTTCATTATTTGAATAGTTCATTTTATAAAATTTATTGAAAATATTATGCATTCAAAAAATGAATCTGGTTGCGTATCGATAGCAACATGATTGTTACATTTAGTTATTTATTAAAAAAATCTATTCAAAAAATTACGTTTGTTAATTTTTTTAAAGACAAATGTGACTCAATTATATAATTACAAATATTTAATTAATTAATTTTTTTGTATGTCAATACCTCTAATTGATAAACTATATAAAATAAATAATTTAAATCATACTGTGTCAAAGAGCACCACAGTGGCTCCAATCTCAACATTTGCTAGTCACACCAGCATAATCTCAAATCCCACAATATTTCATAATCAACACTAATTTAAATCGTAAGAAGCATAGAACATGGGTGGATGATTAGTGATCTACTGAACTTTTTCAACGAGGTCACCCATATGCCAGACTGCACAAAGCACACAATCACACAAAACCAAAAACCAGATCATAGGCCATACCAGCATGGCCTCCATTACTTTACCCCCAAGAGGAAAATTGCAAACAAGTATTTAAAAAAAGTCTACTTTCCTTCAGTTTTAGATCAGGTTAAGGATATTGTTAAGTTTATAGGGACTCATCATGTGTTTCGTTTCGATAATTTGAACCGTTTAATGTGTAGAATTTATCGAGTATTATATGCTTGTAAAAAATTATATTGATTGCATATCGATAGCTAAGTGATCAAATCAATTTTATATAAAAAAAAATAGACAGTAAAAAAATAAACAGTTGACAGAAATTTAATCTGATGAAACAATTAACGTGATTTTTTACAAATATATAAAACTTAACAAATACTACACATTAAACAATTAAAATTATTAAAACGAAACTCATGATAACCTTTATAGATTTAATAATACCTTCTAATCCCATTTAGAACGGGTGAAAAACCCGTCCCCATTTAAAAATAGCTAAGCCTCATCTCCTAGCCTTTTTTTAACATTATTACCGAACATGCTAATTTTTTCTAGAAGTCAGTGAGGGATGATGAGATGTCATATTTCAAAGATTCTTCATGTGCCCTCCCTTCTCTCTCTCTCTCTCTCTCTCTCTCCTCTCCTTTTCTCTCTCTCATCAAGTTGAACTCCTCCAGCGCCACTATATAAACCTCTCTCATTGATCATCTCTTCATCCCATTTTCTCTTGCTTTTGCTTCATTTTTAGTGTTTTGTGTGCTTCAAGCTACACTATCCCTTCAGGTGAAAATGGCCACAGTTGAGGTAACTCAAACTCCAACAATTTTTATTTTGGAGGTTTGATTAATATAAGATCTAAATTTGCGTACTTCTCTTATAAACTCAACTTGTCTAATCCTCTTAGAGCTCTCTTAGTAAAAGCCCTCTTTCTTCTTAATTTTGTTTTTTTTAACCAACTAGGCATACTCTAATTAGTCACTATGCTTTCCTTAGAGTTTAGTCTCAAGAAGGTTATGGGTTCAATTCCCCTTAAAAGATTGAAGTAAGAGAGTACAAGTACTTAGGTGCTTTGTCGAGGGTGCGGAGATTTTTTCTCATAAATACTAATCTAACAACTAACATTAACCAATAAAAAAAAAAAATTGTTTTCTTTTATTCTACAATTAATCTTTCTGCTAAAAATTTGTTTGTACGATATCGATATTGATTAATTCATAGCCTCCACATAGCTCTTCTTCTTTCTCCCTCCTAACCCAATTCATTAAAACTGTTGTCTTGGATCCAACGATAATACAGGAAATAATATGGAGTCAACTTTAGTAATTTGAATCACTCAAAACAATTCATGGAATCAAAAAAAACCATGCTACTTTAAATAAGAAATTAAGATCAAGATTGCTATTATATAAATAAAGTATATCTTTTGCTCGTTCTTATCTAAAATATCGTTGGATAATCCATCCACCATGCTTGTTATACCCTATTTTCGTGGGATTAATGTGGATAATCCATCCACCATGCTTGTTATACCCTATTTTCGTGGGATTAATGTGGCAAGTTATGAATTTTATTGACAAAAATTATTGAGTCATGTAGGCAATACAAATTACTCAATCCAGTGATATTTTTAAAGTAATAAATCACTTAGATTATGTATTAATTTATTTTTATTTCTATTTTTAAATGATAAGATCAAATTCTGCCAAATCATTCTGTACAAATTTTATGTTTAGTTTTTTTGGGTGTATTAAGCTGCATAAGCACTATTAATCTCGAGTTTGTAGATGTATATATATATTTACTATAACTAGTTCTTCAGTAGATGTGTAGTTAATATGATTTGTATCAATCTAACAATCTAATTACCATTTTTGAAGGAAAGAAATTAGCATTTCACTAATTATTCCCTTATTATTGGATCATTATTCAGGTTGTGTCAGCTACATCAGCACTTTCAGAGGAGAGCACTAAAGAGGAGCCAACCAAGGCTGAAGAGACAACAACCACAGAAGAGGCAGTGGCTCCAACACCACCAACAGCGGCTGAGCCACCAGCAGAAGAAGAGAAGGTAACAGAAACAGCCGCCGCACCAGAGGAACCAGCTGCTCCAGAACCCGAAGCTCCGGCCGCTGAAGTTGAGGCCAAGGAGGAGAAGGCTGTGGAAGAAGTAGCTGAGGTGGTGGCAACCGAAGAAGAGCTGGTTGTAGAGAAGAAAGAAGAGGTGAGTACTCCTAAGGTGGCACCAGAGCCAGTTGAGGAGGAAGTAAAAGAAATTACAGAGTCTGTCAAGGCACCCGAGCCGGTGATTGAAGCTCCTAAAGATGAAGTTGTTGAAAAGGAAGAAGAAAAACCAGTTGAAGCTGAACAGAAAGTTGAAGCAGAAGCAACGGCTGAGAAAACTGAGTAGTAAAAAGCTTATGGAAGTGTTTTGCTTTGGCTTTTAGTGAAAGGTTTGTGCATGTAGTAAAGGGCATGTTAGGTTTTCATCATGTTGTTGTGTTAAAGTTAAGAGTTTGGTCCAATAAGGGTAGTTTGGTAATATGGGGCTTGGAATCTAGAAAATGAATGGGACCCATGTGGATCCCACTTGTATCGTATGTAGCCAATGCCGACCTGCCACGTGGAAAGATGTATGAGAGGGATTTATTTTGATACGTGCCACATGGGGCATGGTTATTGGTTTTGAGACGGTCTGGTTAGGCCTGTAATGATGCTTGTATGTTGATACACAAGATGTGTTATGTTATTTTGGATTATTATATATGATGTTGTAGCACTTAATTAACCCCCCCTAATTATTAATAAGATTGATTGCATATGTTTACAAATATTCATTTGTGTAAAATCACCCAATATATATGCATAAACAATATTCAACGATTAACCATTCAAAAAAGTTCATCAACACTAAAGTTGTGTTAGGGATGAATTTAAGATTCTAATATTGGAAGGCAAAGATACATATAATTGTAAATTAAAAAATTTTCTCAAATTTTATTAAAACATAATATCCCCTATTCTTAATTAAAAAAACGATTTGTGTTTGGATCAACATATCCTGCATAGCTATAGACATCGTTCTCTCCTTCTACCAATTCAAGTGATTACAAATCTACTCTTTTATACACCTAAACAATTCATGTTTTAATCACCTAATAATTGATTAGTCGACCAAACTCAGTTCGTTTGCAATCCTAACTTTAAGAAATTACATTATGCTACTATTATTATTACTATTATTGATATAATTGTATAGTATTTAAAAGTAAAAAATAAACATTCATTTAAACAAAAAGTGAGAATTAATTTTCAAAGGACAGTTCCAAAATCTTATCGTTTCATTAACCCCTAATTTCATGTATCCTTTTGTATGTGTCATGACTGCGCATGTATTAATGTATAGAAACAATTTGATCAAGTCAAACATTCATGAATGCCTATTATTTTCTTTTTGTTAACTTGTACAACTATTATCTCACATAAATAGATTCTTGTTACAACCATGCATAACATTTTTTTTACTATTTTGCATGTAAACTTTTCCCAACATTTGCCTATAAAAGATCGAAATCACACCTTTCCATAAGCACAAAAAGTGAATCAAAATGGCTCTTTCCAAGATTTCACTAGCCATTGTTTCCTTCATGGCCTTGACCATGGCCCACCACTCCCTAGCCCAAAATTCCCCACGGGACTTCCTTGCAGCGCACAATGCTGTTCGAGATCAAATCGGAATCAAGCCTCTTGCATGGAACAACACCGTAGCCGCCTATGCCGAGAACTATGCTAAATTGAGGAGTGCTGACTGCAACTTGCAACATTCAAACGGCCCATACGGGGAAAACATTGCGGAGGGCTCAGGTGAATTTACAGCGGTGGATGCGGTGAAAATGTGGGCGGACGAGAAACCAAAGTATGACCACAATTCGAATTCATGTGTTGGAGGAGACACTGCAGGATGCCTACATTACACTCAAATTGTTTGGCGCAACACAGCACAAATTGGTTGTGCTAGAGTTCAGTGTCAGAATGAATGGTGGTTTGTCACTTGTAACTATTATCCACCGGGAAATTATGTGGGTCAACGTCCTTACTAAGATGTTTTTTTTTGGCTTACAAACGGATGTACTACGAAGCGATGAAACTTTGAAATCTGAAACATAACTCATTTGAGTAATATTAAGGGATGCCTATGTTACACTCAAATTGTTTGGTGCAGCACAACCCAAATTAGTTGTGCTAGAGTTTAGTGTCGGAATGAATGGTGGTTTGTCAATTGTAACTATTATCCACTGAGAAATTATGTGGGTCAACGTCCTTACTAAGATATTTTTTTTTGTTTTTTTCCCCCCTTATTTTTTTGTCTTACAAACGGATGTACTACAAAGTAATGAAACTTTCACTACAAGAAAAGTGAGCATAAAATACGGAACTTTTTGCGATGGTGTGTATACCGTCGCAAAAAGTGGTCTTTAGCAACGACATATGAAGCTGTCTCAAATAATGTTTTCTGCGACGGCAGTTTCCCCGTCGTTAATAAGCACACAACAAAAAGTCACTTAAATACGGAAGTATTCGCGACGACACTATGTACCATCTGTAGACGTCCCCGAACGTCCCGGGAGGGAATCCCGTTTTGTTCATTAGGGCTGACTACAGTTTGGACTCAATGTCACGGTCTTGTATCTAATCTCGCGGAGCACAATGCAAGACCGATGAATCATCAAAGAGTCCAAATCCGGTAAATTGTTTTGAAAAACTAATTTTTAGAAAGAAGTGCTAAACATGGACTACTTTGCCAGATGTAGAATCACCACCTAAATATTTTATTTTGAGAGAATTTAGGAAACCCTGGCTCGTGCCTAAGGCCACGTGTCTGTCATCACCAAAGTTGCCTCGGCTCGGAAACTTGGGTACGATTAGGGAAGGTCACTTCGTGAGCACCCCCACTCGCCTGATTAAAGATCAGCCTCTACTAACCATGTTATCGAGTTTTGAAAACATTATGTGCTCTTATTCCGGCTATTAGCCTAGAATTACTATGTGATGCACACAACATACAAGTATAGACTGGATCGTTTGAGTTGGAACAAAACATTTCATGTTTATTTATTTGAAAGATGGTTTGATGGTGCTACTCGCAAGTAAGCTAAGACGTGGATTTGCCACCCTCAAGTGGGCTTAAGAAAACATGATTTTGCCACTCTCAAGTGGGCTTAAAACTCTCAATTGGTGAATCAATCCTAACTTTAAGAAATTACATTATGCTACTATTATTATTACTATTATTGATATAATTGTATAGTATTTAAAAATAAAAAATAAACATTCATTTAAACAAAAAGTGAGAATTAATTTTCAAAGGACAGTTCCAAAATCTTATCGTTTCATTAACCCCTAATTTCATGTATCTTTTTGTATGTGTCATGACTGCGCATGTATTAATGTATAGAAACAATTTGATCAAGTTAAACATTCATGGAACTTCAGATCTGAAGAAGAATGCCAAAAGAAATCAATGTTAAAAAAATATATGACGGCATTTTTTCAACAACGTCGCTAAATATCGAGATCGACGTAGATGAATGGATGCAAACATGCGAGCATAAGTATGCTAATTGAAACGTGCCCTAAACTAACCATCATAAGCTGGTAAATAAAAGGGAGAAAAACGTGGGGTTGGAAAGCATGCATCATACACACGCGCACACTTATTACAACATTGCCCTTCTCGGAGGGTCTGAATGAATAGTACAGAATAAACTAGCTAATCTAAGCTAATTAAACTAATTATTACACAACATTAATTAATTAACGAATTAACTAAGTAAGGAAACTAGCATGCAAATTAAACAAAATGGACTACCTCAGCTCTGTTCCAAATGATAGGGATGCATGCATGCTCAAGTCGCCTTGTCGGGAAATCCATCGCGATGCCCCGATTTGCCTCTATTTGCAACTGGTCTCAGAACACTATATAAAGCTCCAGAAGGCTGCTGACCAGTTTTTGCTCCTGGTTTCCAGTTTGCTGCAACAGAGAGCGAGAAAGGGGCATGGCAAAGTATTTTCAACATATGTGTGCATGACCACTCTCTCCATCATTGCATAAGCTCCAGGGATTGTAGTCCTCGATCCTTGTGCCACCAATCACGCATCTCGATGCATGACGGCCGAGGAGTCGGATTGCACGACTCAATGTAAAATGAATGCACATATAAACACAACAAGGCCTAAACTTCATCATGGGTAATCCGGAGTGTCGGCGATCGAGAATTGAGGCACGTTTCGTCACTTGGAGTACGAAATGTCCCTCGTTTCCTGTGTTTGGACTAAACCCTATTCTAAACACAATGCAATATACATGACATACACAATACGACTAGCATGCAACCCTAAACGCAATGCAACCTAATCATGCTAGCATGCGAGGGATGATTATGCAAACATGCAACTAGCATATACAATGCTATGAACTAAGAATGGCATATTCAATGCACATGAACTATATGGCATATGCAATGCACATACGAAGATGGACATGCACGAAGACATGAACACGGCATACACAATGCGACGATCAAGCATGCGACAACATGGATATGGCATACATAATGCAAGATGGACTTAAACTAAAATGAATGGGCCTCAGCCACACTCAAATTAGTAGCCATACATGATGAAAATGAAGTAACAACACACATGCAAACATGCACAAATGCAAGGGACCAAACCTAAGGCACAAAGTGCAACTCCACCAAAGCATGGTAAGCATGAAATATGATATACAATCACATATTTTTCAGCTCTAAAATGGCATGCAAGATGGTCCTGAATCATGTAAACACCTCACACAATGCATGCTAGATGGCCCAAATACCGAAACTAGTGAAGTGGATTACACTATAGGCATGCAAAGCAATACTCAAATGGCCAAACTAGCCCCAAACAGTCCCTGTGCAGGCCAAAACAATAGCAAATATGGACTAAAATGATGGCTCGCAAAGTATGGAAATGAAACTCATGCAATAGTCCAAAATTGAAGTATTCATGCATAACTCTCAAACACATTTAAAGAGTGGAAAACATGGGAATATGGCATACATATAAGCTCTGAAATATGATTCACAATGATGCCAAAACATAGAAACACCTCAAAATATGCATGCAATAGGCTTCAAAACTTAAAGCTAGACAAGGGTATTGAACTACAACCATGCATAGAAACCATAATTCGACCATGAGACCCAAAAAAAGAGCTAAGACAGTCCAAAACATGCACAAAATCAGTTTAAGGCATGGCCAAAAGTGCAAGAATCAAAGGCCAAAATAGCATGCAATGTAAGTTAGTAAAGAGGATTTGCACTACAAGCATGTAAAGCAATCAAGAGGCCACTAAACTAGCAAAATTTAGAGGTATGACATGCCAAATAAAGCCCAAAAACCTACTGAAACATGGTTAATGCATGCAAGAATGAGATGCTCCTTTGATATGCTATGAAGAGGGTTATTCTACACATGCAAGATGGACATCCAATATGGAAAAACAAGCTCTGGACAGAGTCTATGTAGGTCCTAAAACTCATCAAAAATGGCCTGAAACATGGCTTGGAAGCATGCAAATAAGGGCTCCTTTGTAAGGCCAAAAATGCTAGAAAACAAAACACGGAGAGAGAGGGTCACCCCTCTCTGATTTTGGCACTCAAAACAGTATGCTAGCCACTGAAAATCCACTGGATTTCAGTGGCTAAAAATCCAAACAAAGGCCAACACAAATGCTCTAAGGCATGGCTCAAAACAAGATAAAATGAAGCATGCAAGGGGGTAGATGACCCCCAACAGAAAAATGATCTTAAATAAACATGTTAAGGGCCTCAAAATAAGACTTTTTTTAGTTTACACCAAAGCTCAAATATGCTTGCAAGTATATCTAAAAGATGAAGCAAAATAAAGCCTTAAAAGGAAGAAAGTGTGTTACCCTTGTAGCACAAAAGGACCAGCAACCTCTGGACCACAAAGACAGCCTCTCAACCTCTGAAAATGGCCTCCAAGATGCTTAGAGTGATGGTGGAGGGGTTAGGTTGGGAGATGGTATGCAAAGGTGCAAGAACCATGCACTTTTTCAGCTTGGATGTAGAGACATAGAGGGAGAAGTCTTGTATGCCTTAGACAAATTTTTTTTTTAACCCTCTACAAGGAAGGGGAGCCTTTCCTTTATAGACAAGAGGGACTAAAGCTTCTCCTAGAAGCTTAAAACCAAGGGCAAACATCCTCCATACACGTGTATGGAGGATGCAGTCTGTGCCTCCTAGCTGGCACAACTAGAATCAACTCACTAAGACAAAACTGATGGGAGCTGGCCGACCAGTTCAAGTGGTCGGCTGACCACTTGCCCTGGTCAGCCGACCAGGATCAAAAGGTTCAAGTGGTCGGCAGCCTCCCATGGTGGTCTCCACATGAAATGCAAGCAAGTGGTATGATGGGAGACTAGTAAATGTAGCCCTAAAACCAAGAAGACCAGCTTCCTATCAAGAAAATCGGCCGGTGAAGAGAAAGGTGGTCTCCAAGGAGAAAAGGTGGTCTCCCATCCTTGTACCACCTTCCAAATAATGAAAACAGGGTCCATGCCAAAAATGAACCAAGACGGATGCAAAACGAGGGTTTGAGGGCCAAAACGCGCAGCCGGGTGCCCCAAAAACTGACTGTTAAGCATCGAAAGTGGCGTGCGACCACGAAGGTGGTCTCCTGGCCCATAGTGTCCCTCTAGAGAGAGGAAACAATGTGTGTGCCAAAAACTGGAGCAAACGGAGAAAGTTAAGCGGTCCCGAACCGAGGTGTACGGCCGACGGCTTCGAAAATCGGAAACTGGTCTCCAAATGGGAACAGTGGTCTACGACCACGAAAAGTAGCCTACCACTGAGAGATGGTCTACGAGACCTCTCCCTTCCTTCGGGAAGAGAAAACAGAACCTGGTTTGCAAACCAAGGCAAAACACAAAAGAGTCCCGAAGTCTGGAGACAAGGCTCTCAGCCGAGACTCTGTAACTTTAGAACGAGCACAACATGCGCAATTATCAAGCACTCAATCGATGACGTCTGAGTCTTAAGATCGGTCAAAAATGGGGTGTCTACACTGTCGCAAAAACTTTTTGTTGAGACGGGTGAAATTTACCGTCGCAAATAGTGGACTTTGTGACAA